CCCGTCCCTCGCCTACCTGCCGCGCGCCGCGCAGCGCCGCCTCCGCCCCTGGCAGCTCCTGCTCTGCCTCGGCTCCCCCGACCGCGCCGCCGACGCCGCCGCCGCCGCCGACCTCGGCCTCCGCCTCGTCCACGTCGACGCCAACCGCGCCGAGGAGGTCGCCGACACCGTCATGGCGCTCTTCCTCGGCCTGCTCCGCCGCACCCACCTGCTCTCGCGCCACGTCTCCTCCTCCCCCGCCGCCGTCGCCGCCGGCTGCCTCGGCGCCGTCCAGCCGCTCTGCCGCGGGATGCGCCGCTGCCGCGGCCTCGTGCTCGGCATCGTCGGCCGCTCCGCCGCCGCGCGCTGCCTCGCCACCCGCAGCCTCGCATTCCGGATGAGCGTCCTCTACTTCGACCCCCGCTATCTGGTAAGCGCCCGATCTGCAGCTCCCTGCGCTTCTGGAATTGCTTTCCGATGATTCGCAGTCAGGCTTTCACTAACCATTCAGGTTATGAGGCTGGAATGCTGTGAGATTAATGCTCTCATTCGTTTGTGATTTAGACTAGGCTAAGTTGCTGAGTTATTTAAGGTTCCTCACAATTTCTTCCTTCTTGGGAAGTACAAATGAAAAACAGTGGTAATTTGTGCAAAATCGGTTAAAACTGTAGTGATTTTCCAAACCCCATTCTTGCAAGTGCAAGTGTTGAGGAGCCAAATTTTGCAAGTGCAAGTGCAAGAAGACATGCATAGGTGGATGTATAATGTTAGTGGTATTTTGGTTTTTCTAACTCCAGCATCATGCCTTTTGAAGGCTGAAGGGAAAATGCGGCGGCCTTCCATTGTATTTCCTGCTGCTGCTAGGAGAATGGATACTCTCAATGATCTATTGGCAGCAAGTGATCTTGTTTCACTGCATTGTACATTAACAAATGACACAATGCATATACTTAATGGGGACTGCCTGCAACACATTAAGCCTGGTATGTTTTTTCTTGCTTCTTTTGTTTTCTGCTTGTTGCATTATAAGTTTCTCGCACTTTCAGTACTCTGGGATCTAAAATAGTGAGTCTCTTTTCTTTTAAATTCCACAGGAGCATTCATTGTCAACACTGGTAGTTGCCAACTTATAGATGACTGTGCGCTCAAACAGCTCTTGCTTGATGGTACCATAGCTGGTTGTGCATTGGATGGTGTTGAAGGTCCACAATGGATGGAAGCATGGGTATGGAATTTGAATTTATGATATGGATGTTGTCCATAAATGGCCACTTGGGATGGAATAAGTACATCTAAGATCAAATTGCATACTCATTTCGAATGTTATGTAGCTTCAATGAAAAGGAATCTCTGGAACAAAATGAAAGATAAAATGTTTAATTCATTTTAACATTCCTTCATTTAGAAGATACCATTTTGTATAACATCAAGATGTGTAGCAGTGAAACTACATAACTAGCTACAAGACTTTTCTTGTGCAAACAGACAGACCATTAGTGTGAAGTAAGGACAGGCAATTGGTGCCCCTTTTCACAGCTATCACTGTATTGCTTGTTTCTCAGAAAAATGATGGCTAGTCTGTATTTGTTACAGGTGCGGGAAATGCCAAATGTTCTAATTCTTCCTAGAAGTGCAGACTACAGTGAAGAAGTGTGGATGGAAATAAGAGAGAAAGCAATCACGATACTACAGTCCTTTTTCTATGATGGTGTTGTTCCAAGTAGTTCAATTTCTGATGAAGATGAGGAAATTAGTGAAGCTGGAAATGAAGATGATCAAGACAGAGGAACAAAAGATAACCATTCACAAGTTTTTGATGGCGAACATCAGACTGATGAAAGCCATTTAACTCTCAACTATGAAAAGAAAAGAGCCACATCCCAGTATAAAGAATCTCAAGCTCCAGGGCAATCATCACAAAATAGTGGCTCACGAACAGAAGGAAGGCGTAGTCGCTCTGGAAAGAAAGGGAAAAAAAGACCTGCTCACCGCAGATCTCAGAAAACAGACGACTTGTCTGCTGTAGAGAGTGACAGTAATTATTCCTTCCGCAGAGATGATGATAATGCAACGAGTGGCAGAGACCAGGTGGTAAGTTCAAGTTCACGGTTTGCTTCCCCTGAGGACTCAAAGTACAAGCAGAAATCTCCTGTTGAATCGCCAATGGAAATAACTTCGGAGAAGAAGTTACCTGTCGTGCTTGGTAGAAAATGCCCTGATACACTAAAAGATGGTTATGTTGTAGCTTTGAGAGCAAAAGATAATTCAGGGTTCCATGTTGCAAGACAAAGACTTGCTGGTGGTGGTGGTTGGATCCTTGATGTTGTGTCAAATGCTACGAACAGGGACCCTGCTGCTCAGTTCCTTGTCACTTTCAAAAACAAGGTATGACTTTAGTTGTTCCCCTACCCTTTTGGTTGTTGCTTGTTGAGTGTTATTAATTTCATAGTTTATTCAAGTATGATGCATATTCGGTACTAAAACGGTTAAACAAATTGGCATTTCAGGATCTGATGGGATTGCGATCCTTTGTTGCTGGTGGCAAACTGTTACAGGTGATGTACACAATCTGTTCTGTTCTGTTTGACTTAAAAAAAGTACCTTTATCTGAACTTAGCAACAAAAGGCAGTATTCATGTGTTGTATGCTCATAATTTTGGATTTGATACTTTGTCGCTGTTACTTGCTTCACCTCAAGTTTTGTAGGTAGGAATATTCTACTTGCACATTACTCTGTTGAAATTTCTGTAAAGGTCCTTGATTGCTCTTAATTAACGTGCAACACGTTGCTACCAGTGCATTTCCATGTTTTTTTCTTGAAGTATATGCGTCCCAATCTTGATTCCGTTGGAACTAGTCAAAATGGCTAGGAAATAGAAATTCTCTTCCGATCTGTTCCTGATAGTGATACCCTTGGTTGACAACGCTTGACATGCAACTGTCTTTCAACATGTTGTTAACAGATCAATAGGAAGATGGAGTTTGTGTTTGCGAGCCATAGTTTCGATGTCTGGGAGGGCTGGGTGCTGGAAGTGGAAGGCTCCTTGCTGGAGGGGTGCAAGCTTATCAACTGCCGAAATTCCTCGGTACGTGCACTTGCCATGGACTGATTCTCTATGTCGCTTTGAGAACAATGCTGCTATATTTCAAAATACTTGTCTAGTTGTCTGTAACACCCTGGTTTCTGTTGGTTGGGGTTTCTGTAGGCTGTATTGGACGTGTCCATTGAGGTACTCGCAGCTGCGAGTGAAGAAGATGGAGTCACCCGGTGGCTAGATTAGCCCTGCTGTGCCGGGTTGTGCTGAGATGGAAGAAAGAAAGAAAGAAATGAACTGACTCCTTGCTGTTTGGTTTGGCTTTGTGTGGTTTGCTGCCAATTTCGATTCAGTTTTAGTGTGTCTAGCTAGTATAGAAGGGACCCAGTAGGCATTTTGTGTGCATCTGTTATGTAACTATATCTAGTCTAGATCTGATCCTTTCCACTGTAAGGGCATCTCTAATCGAACCCTAAAAACGCGCAACTCAAAAGATTTCGTTTTCGAGGAGGGAACCTCAAAAGTTTCCTCTCTTGCTCAAATTTGAGCAGCCGGTTACACTTCTCTTTTTTTTTGAATATCGGCAGGACTGCCAAATTCATTGATTAGAAGAAGGTGGTATAAGAATCCTCAGAGGAGGAAAGTACTGCAGAAAGGGAAGGCTAGAGGTGCGGCAGCACCTGGCGGCTAGGGTTAGCGTTTTGGTCGCTCGTGGGAAGCTGACATGGAGCTGGGGTTGGGGTTTTGAACAGGGCGGCTACACTTCTCCTTGCAAGAATCATTGGCCTCCCCCCGACGGCCGCCGCTACCTTAGCCATCGGACGGCCTGCTCGCCCCTCGGTTATGCTTGTGCATCTGTGGTTTACGTTGAAGTTTTTCTTTGGTTTCCACTCACCTGTGGCGAAATCCCACCGTATTTGAGGAGTGAAAGATTTGCTAGGAATTCTGGATCGTTGTTCACGTCTCAACTCCCGGCTTGGATTATATATCCATTTGGTCCGCTCTCAGCCATTCCAAACGTAGCAGCTATGGGATTATGACTAAGTTTTCCTTCGCCTTCTCGTCGTTCCCAGCCACTCCCCGAGCTACCCCGTCATTCCGAGCCATGGTTGCCGATTACGACGAGTCGTTGCGCCCCGGGCCACGCCATTGAGCCACAGGGAGAACGAAGAGGAGAAAACCCGGATGGATTTCACCAACTTCCTCTACGCCTTCCTCGCACGCATATGCCGCGTTCCCTGAGAAGGGGTAAAGTTTGGGGGTTCGGTTAGCTCCGACCATTATTTTTTTCAACTACACACATTTGATGAGTTATGATAATACCAGGAAGTGTTTAAAAAGTCATTTCATTACCTCCTTTCATAGCCCATACACTCGAACAAGGAAGTTGGCCGATGGCTACTAGAATGGCTTGGACAATACTATCTCACACCGACCCCCCCCCCCCAGCCCGGCTCTCGCGTCGCCCCTCTCGGGCGACTCGGGAGCGAC